GAAAGAGTTACATTAGACCAAGGCACCCAGAGTGACTTCCAGTCAGACAGGGTTTGAATCGCACACTTCATTAGAGCTACACTGACAAACAGCTCTGTCTGTCAAAGCTCGGGGCAAGCTTATTAAAGTGAGAGAGTCCTGCAATGACAATCAGAATGAAGTGTATAAAAACTCTAATAACTGTGAAATGACAGCTGAGCTCGTGAATAAGATTCAACTGAGTGTTCGTAACAAGTGCACTTGACTTCTTACAACAGTGGTTTACAGTACGGCTCAAATTAAGACAGGCCTAGAGCTGTGAAATGGAGATCTCGCTCCAACACAAAGATCCCGTATGCAAGGTTTTGTTATGCAGTGGTGGAAGGGATGGAGTGATCTCACTGACCCCACAGCACTTGCCTACTGCAGGAAGGAGACTAACACTTCCTATGAGGTGAATACAGATCAGACCATCATGAATCCAGGGCCTGTCTACAAATCCAAAACCAGACAACCTCACTCTGGCTTGAGACGTGTTGCAATGTTCTCATTCACTGGCTTTGTTGTCGCTCTCTATCTCTCTCTGACTGTTATCATTTCCATGAAAATAGATTACAATCACTGTCAAACCATGGTGTAGCATCTTTTATTTAGAAGTTTTTCTGTGTTTGGGATTAAGTGGAACCATCTTCTGCTGGCTGCATGTGTATGTATCCACACATAACGGGAAATAAATGGTATTAAATTCTACATTACATTCAATATGATATGTACAAAGAGGAAATGTTAAGATGTAAATGAAGCAGATGATAAATACTAGTACTATTATACATTTTGTATACACATTTTATTGCTCCAATTCAATTACCTAATTGAATATGAATTGAATTATATATATTTTGTCAGGTATTTGTTTTCCATTTGTCTGACTCATTCAGTGCTGATGGAAACAGTGATGTTATTTCGGGCAATTTAGCCTTTCTATCTATTTCTTCTCTGCATTTTGCCTTCCTTTTGATAGTTTCTTTTCATTTTTCTGGAGTCTGACATTTAGAAAGTTGTGGTGGGTTCTACAGCAGGCTACCCTGAAGGCGAGATATTTAAATTCACCATGAAACAGTGTTCGCAACCCATTTTACTATGGTAAATGGGACATATTTCTATGTCAGGCAGTTGAAGGGTAAATATTTAACAGTATAATATTATATTACACTACTGTTCAAAGAAATGTTTGAAGAAATTAATACTTTTTTTCAGCAAGGATGCATTAAATTGATCAAAAGTGACAGTAAAGACATTTATAATGTTACAAAAGATTTCTATTTCAAATAAATGTTCTTTTCTATTAATATATAGTATATATATTATAATAATAAATGTTTCTTGAGCACCAAATCAGCATGTTAAATCAGCATGTAAAATGTAAATGATACTGTAATGAATTTAACTGTTTTCACTGTATTTTAAATAAAGTACAATCACATTTAGCATATATTATATTATATTATATTATATTATATTATATTATATTATTATTAAGAGTGCGGTATTAGAGTGATAACCAAACTACTCCAGCGACTACCAACTACTACTCATGGTGGACTCTCAAATCCACTAAATTTTTTTAAATAATACTGTTTTTGTGTCACAGAATGTAGTTTTAGTTTAGTTTTTTTTGTTAGATTTTTTAGGTGAGAATGTACTTGTTTAGTCTTCTGTAGCGTCTCGACCAATCTGACACACTAATTTTTATTTGATTTAACAAATCAATTATTCATTAGATTAACAAATCGTCACAGTCCCCTCACTCAATAAACTGGATGCCAGGATTTCTGCTGAACAACTGGGCCCCTGGTCACCATGACAACTAATCATGATATCACTGGTTTTATGACCCCCCCAGGAATGTGAGTAGGATAACCCACTCTTTGTCCCCATAGGAGAGGCAGAGCAGAAATTGACTTTTCTACTAATTAATTCATAGGAAAACCTTTCTTTGATTGAATACACATATCCTTCAGGTCATTGTGTATACCATTACTGTTCTTGTATATTGTCTTGGACAAGCCCATCTTGAAAGGCGGGGATCTTTTCCGACCTTAAAGGCCACACTCCAGGGACCTGCCCCAGTCGGTGGTTCAGTCAGTTGCTAAGATGAAGATGTGAGAAAACGCTTCAGGATACCAAAGCATGGTGCCAGGCCTTTCTTCGGCTTTGTCCTTGCCATTTCAATCAAAATTCTCTGACTCAAAACTGGTTCTTTCGCATCCCCATGAGCTGATTCGTTACACTTCATATATGCGGTTTGTTAATAAAGATAACGTTTATTTGAAAATCTGGTTCAACGTTTTCGGAGATGTGAGTTCCAGGGCGTCAGCGGCCGTTCAGCGCTCATGACCCCGCCGAGAGCAGCCTCACCTCTGCCAGATCTTCAGAGGTTAAACATGAGATATAATTCGTTTTGGGTAAATCTAACGGGCAGTCTTTGGTCTCATTACTAATCGATTATTTGTTTCAGAGCATATAGTTTTGGCTGACAACAAAATCTCATCACGTAACTTATGTGATGTTTATGTAACTTCAGTGCTGTATTCAATGCTGTATATCAGGCGCTGCCTTTTGACTGAATTGCCGTGCAACTTTTATGATGGCTGTTGTTGTTGTTTATTAAATATTTTTATTAAAAAAATAATTGTACAAGTAATAGTATTGGGAACTGTGTGTGTTCGTGATGCTGGTTTTACTTACATTGTTCCGACATTAGATGGCGACAAGAGACTTTTATGAGTGAGTCAGTAAAGACTTTTATATTGAAAGAGACTGAAACAGAGAAGTTATTTTTACTTTCAACAACAGCTTTTAAGATGCAGCCAACAAATGCAGTGAGCAGCGCTGTCATCGGAAATCACCTTTAACAGATGAAAGGATAGCACGACAAAGATATCGCTTTCTTCAGCGGACATTTAAACTAATATTTTATTGTGAATATGAGATTGAGTTGAAGAATGAATGCTGTATCAGATGCAGGTAAGTTAATCACACTTGCTCAGTCCATCTCTCTACATAATACAGTGAACTTTTAATACAGTAATACAATAAGCTTTTAATGAAGCAACTCAGCGTTCCTTTGTTACTAGTTCTAAACAGTCTATGGTTCTAAAGTGACGCTTTCGAATTAATAATGGAGGCTTGAGCTCATCTGTTAAACTCAAACTGAGATTTGAATCTGTGGCGGAAGGAAATAGTTCTGAACAAAAGGGTTTTTAAAGACACTTCGTTGTTGATTTTCTTAAGTAGGCCTATTTACACACTCGTGCCGTCGAACTGTTGTATAAATGTAATATCACACTCATATCCTTGAGATGTGGCTATATATCAGCACTCTGTGATTACTCATAATTTAATTTGCTCATATTATTGTATCGTATTACATTATATTTGGGTCAGGAATACATGTTTGGTCAATTTTGGTGTTATATTGACTTTTGAACAAACACAATACGATAGTCACCTAAATGACAGCGACGCATGTTTCATTGTAAAGTATCAGAACGAAAGAAACTAAGAGAGATAGACAAACTAAACCATAATTTAATCAGAATGCTATGACCCATGCACCAGTGTCTCACTCTATATTCTCTTTGTAAGTAGAATACTTGACTTTATATACAACAGTAGCATTTATTATTACAGTGAACACCTCTCTCTCTCTCTGTGTGTGTGTGTGTGGATGCAGCCAAGCAGAGAGGGATTCCACCTGACCCCAAACACAGGAAAACTTCAAAATAAAACATGCTGTCACTATGGATGGAGAGTGATTGTAATACATGTTTATGGAAACGATAGAAACAAATATGCACAGAGGGATAGAGAGCAACAAAAAAGCAGGTGCACTTTATGAATTATGCATTTCGCTGATAGAATACCAACCTCCTTGAAATTCAAAAGTGGGGCAAAAATGTGTGATTTTTTAAAATTGCTTTTGGTTTTTAATTATCCAATGCTAACTGGACTTAATCCTTTTTAGGGTTAAAAAAATGTATATTAGGGAGACCCTGGAGCTGGTATACAGTGCCCTCCAAAATGCATTAAGAAGCAAAGCTTACAAATGTATTAAGGTCATGAAATTAGTAACCAAAATATTAAACTAAATGGCATTTATTTTTAAGAAAGATTTTTTGAGCAAGAACTTTGTTAGGTTGTAAATTTTACACTAAATTTGAATTTCCCCAAATAAATAACAGTCCAGCAAAAAGAATTACACTTCATATTGGTTAATACCAAAACATATTGTGTATATATATTAAATATTTTTACACATATATTATTCTGTATATGCATACACAGTAGCTGTGTAAAGTTTGGAACAATTAAGCTTTTTTTAATGTTTTTGAAAGAAGTCTCTTATGCTCACCAAGTCTGCATTCAAATACAATAAAAAAGTAATGTTTTTAAATATTATTATAATCTTTACTAACTGTTTGCTATGTTAAGTCTTCAGTGTCACACGATCCTTTAGAAATTATTCTAATATGCTGATGTGGTGCTCAAGAAACATCAGTGTTGACAGTTGTTTCCAAAGGATCATGTGGCACTGAAGACTGGAGTTATACCTGCTGAAAATTCAGCTTTGGCATTAAAGGAATAAATTACATTTTAAAATATATTCAAATAGAAAACATTTTAAATTGTAATAATATTTTACAATATTACTGTTTTTATTTTTTTAAATGCAGCCTTGGTAAGCAAAAAATTACTTCTTTCAAAAACATTCAAAATCTTATCCTAAACTTTTGATGCTAGTGTATGCACTTGATGTATCAAAATGGTTTAGAAAAGTGAAGTTAGTTTTAAGAAAAATTCTAGCAGCATTTGCAGATACTGCTTGGTTAGGTTATTCTCGGTGAAGAAAATTCATATATTGTTAAGTGTAGTTTAAGCACCCAAAACGTACACAAACACACATGGTTCTTGGCACAGTTTGCAACCAGACTGATCTTTCTGTGACACGGGGAAAGATCTCACGCAAATCCGCATGCCTCGGGCCCTCGGCTCTCTGGCTCTCCAGTCAGTGTCACTGCGATTGAGATGTCCCTCAGCACTGCGCAGTCATAACACTCCTCATAAATGTCAAGAGGGAACCTTTGAGCTGGGGCTGTATATAACAGCAGATAAATCGTTAGAGTGGTAGATGTTATATAGATGTGACAAAAGCATTATTGCAGTGTCCCTGGATCTATCTATAATTCATCTGAGGAGAAAGTGACTGTCAGTGTGTTTGTGTGTGTGTGTGTGTGTGTGTGTGAGAGAGAGAGAGAGAGAGAGAGAAAGAGAGAGAGAGAGAGAGAGAGAGAGAAAGAGACAAAGAAGGAGAGAGCAGTAGAGAGGGTCTATACATGACAGGTGTTGTTTTATTTGCACTTGTAATTGACCTATACTTTAACTCTATTATGAATCAGTAATGTAATACAGAGATTTTTTTTACAGAAACAAATGCATAAGAATGAAGAATAAATACTGTAATGTGGTGCAATGATATTTACTAGTTATTAGCCATTTTAAGCCATTTTTGCACAGAAAACAACAACATGCAAATCTGAAACAGTGTTGGCACAAATTATTTTATTTAAAAAAAAAATTCAATACTTTTGTGTAATTTATTAAATTTCACACCAAGTCCTAGTAATGCTACTAAAGTTTATTTATAAATATAATTGCAATGATGCAATTATATGTGTACATTAATTCCAACCTTACCTGTACTGTGCTGAGCTTGAGCTAATATCAAGATTTAGGCTTGGATATGTAGCAATATATTACTGTTGTTACTGCAATGCCACATATTTAAGATTGTAAGTAACAGTTTAAGAATTGTCCATTGAGAAGTTCATGATTTATACATATATAAATATGTAACACTAATTTGAATAGTGGGTAGGCATGTCTCTCTGTGGTGGCCTCTTCAAGGAATAGTTTGCACACTTAACCTTGGGCCATACAAGATGTTGATGAGTTTGTTTCTTCATCAGAACAGATTTGGAGAAATTTAGCGTTACATCACTTGCTCACCAATGGATCCTCTGCAGTGAATGGGTGCCGTGAGAATGAGAGTTCAAACAGCTGATGAAAACCTCACAATAATCCACAAGTAATCCACATGACTCCAGTCCAGCAATTAATGTCTTGTTAAGTGAAAAGCTGCATGTTTATAATAAACAAATCTATCATTAATGTCTATGGTGGCTGTGATCTTGGTGTTTTGCCCCGAGATGGGAAAATATGATTTCTTTAAAGTTCAGCAGTAACCCATTTAAATGAAATGATTTAAAGGAAAAACCCAGAGTTTCCTTAGAGGGACCCACATAAAGACTTACTATGCATCTATAATACGGTTTCAGAATATTTTCTGAAATGTGAGCTTAAGGCCCTGCATACTCAATCACAAGCACACATAAACTGTGTCAGAAACACTTGCTGCATTGTAGTTTTATTTTTGTTTGTCAATTTGTTTAATAGGGACCGTGACCAATTCGGCAGTTGCACAGGAGTTATGCAGATAGCTAATTTACATGTGTATTCCCCCGACAGGAAGCACATTAAAATACATCACAACAGAGTTCAATGAAGAGAAAATAGCTCATGCCAAACCACAGCAGATTCAAAATGCAATTAATGTAATGCAGGTAAAAAGGAAAGGGGAAATACAATAACATTTGTTCATGATGAACGATGTCAAAGGAAGACTAATTCACCTCTGTTTGTCTACAGGTTATTGTCTTAAACTGCACTAATGATTACTTACTGATGACGTTTGCATACCAGCATACCACTTAAACTATTCCTGCCATAGAAAGATATAGTTAAAATAGTATAAGTAGTATGCAGTTTGAGAGTGTAAGTTTTTCTACACTGTTAAAAAAATAAAGGTTCCAAAAGTGATGCCATAGAAGGGCTCTTTTGGGCATACTTTGGGCTCCTCAAAGAACCTTTCAGTGAACAGTTCTTGAGAAGACCAGTTCTCCTTTATGTAAACAACACGTCAATAATCTAAAGAACCTATTTCCACTATAAAGAATCATTTGTCCAATGGAAAGGATTTCAAGAATGCTAAATGTTCTTCAGATGCCAATAGAGATCCTTTATTTTCGAGAGTGATATCATTGTCTTTGTGGAGAGATAAGCATTTTTAAAACAAGACTTTCTTTCTTTCAATTCTTTTTCAATGCTATTTTGTGACTTTCATTTCTTGCAGTTTAAATTATCTTAGTGTTTCATAGACGAAAGAAAGTCATCTAGAAACTATCCCTTCAATTATTCAATTTACTAATTTGTTTGTCAGTGATAGTAAACTGCTTATAATCATTCTTAGAATTGTTAATAATAAACTCTTTATTAAGCATTGGTGTCTTTGTCACCATTTCATAAAAGCAATAAACCACTTCAGTTGTTTTGGGCCACTTGAGAGTTTTAGGAACATCTCTTATTAGATTCTGTAATTGGTACAGTAAGTCATTGTCATATCTCAATATGATGCATCTTTTTACATCTCTAGCTAGTATCTAATGAACAGCATGAAGATCTAACAGTTAGTTTTCTATCCATATATAATGAAAGCCCAGTGTGACATTCATTTAAGATCAATAACCCTTTCAAATGCTCAATCTGGCAACCCAGCTGTCAAACGTATGGAGCTCTGAGTATGATAAACCGTATGATCTACATGAGATGGAAAGGAACCCTATGAGAATTTCTTGCAGTTTAAATTATCTTAGTGTTTCATAGACGAAAGAAAGTAATCTAGAAACTATCCCTTCAATTATTCAATTTACTAATTTGTTTGTCAGTGATAGTAAACTGCTTATAATCATTCTTAGAATTGTTAATAATAAACTCTTTATTAAGCATTGGTGTCTTTGTCGCCATTTCATAAAAGCAATAAACCACTTCAGTTGTTTTGGGCCACTTGAGAGTTTTAGGAACATCTCTTATTAGATTCTGTAATTGGTACAGTAAGTCATTGTCATATCTCAATATGATGCATCTTTTTACATCTCTAGCTAGTATCTAATGAACAGCATGAAGATCTAACAGTTAGTTTTCTATCCATATATAATGAAAGCCCAGTGTGACATTCATTTAAGATCAATAACCCTTTCAAATGCTCAATCTGGCAACCCAGCTGTCAAACGTATGGAGCTCTGAGTATGATAAACCGTATGATCTACATGAGATGGAAAGGAACCCTATGAGAAAGACAAGATCCCTGTTATATGCGAATGTATCATTAAAATTTGGTGAAATCAGGGGTCGCGTTTTACAGTGAAAACTGCAGTGGCAAATGCAAAACATGCCCTAAAGAGGTTACTATGCCCTTTCTCATAATAGTATGGCTCCTGTCTCCCCTCTCTGCCCCTCTCCACAGATGTTGTGATAACGCTATTGTTGTGTTAGAAGCTTTAGGACTGCCAGGGTCCCTACATTTGAATGAGATAAAGAAAAGAGCCTCCAGGGCTTTCCATTCAAAGGTTTCTCTTGCCCAACGAATTTGTTTCAGCTTGGCATAAAGCACTGTGTGGTGGCCATGCACAAAATAAGATTAATTTGTGCTACTATAGGCTTGTCCAATAAAGTAAAATATAATAATAAAAGTGAGGACTGGAAAATAATAATTGCATTGGAAAAGGTTGAGGCCACGCTATTGTACCATTTATCTACAGTATGCTAAATGTTAATATTAGGGGCCATGAATCGGTACAAAATTTAAAAAACAAATTACTTGATATTCCGACTGATTAATCAAATTAATCCAAATTAATTGCATATATCAATATTTGCTGAGGCAAGACGTTACAGGCCTACAGGCCTACATTTAGCAACCTCGGCTCGTACTGGCACAGTGCTGATATGGTGCTGGTTTAGCTGGTAGACCAGCATAGTCATGCTGTTCTCAAGCAAAACGATGGTGAAGCTGGTTCACAAGCAGGGTCTTGTAGGCATGAGGTGTAATGACATTTCACAATTGACAGCTGCTGTTTTTAAAGACTTTAATGCTAATTAGAGAACTTGTAAGTCAAAATCCAGCTGTCAGGAGCATGAAATATTGTAGACAATAGTGATTATATGCACTTTCATCAATTGCTGAAAGAAAATGAATTCAACCAAAGTCAAAAGCCAAGTGAACCTAAAGTGCGTTAATCACCAATACTAATAACTATTGTGATGATTTATTAGACTTCAACAACTCGTATACATATATGGGATGATACAAAATAAATAAAGCCAAAATAAGTAAACATTGTGCTGATGTTTTAGGTGTGATTTAAGCATCTTCTGTTGAGATATTGATTTCAGTCATCAAATGTAGTGAATCTACTTTATTCCACTAACTGCAACACTGCTTCAGTCTTTTACTTTCTATAGATTGGGACCATATGAAAACTGAGCAGTGTTCATTTAACACTGAGGATTTTGCTGTGCAAATAAGCATCATGTGTTTTTCTTTATTAAATAATTTATTACGATTAATTGGATGATTAGTCTTTATTAGTAATAATTAGTCATTGTTACTATGAACACAAACTAAGAAACGTCATATGTAACGCATATGTGAGTTCTGTTGTGGTTTTGCTGGGATCCTACCAGCACCCAAAAGATAACACCAGCAGCACAAGCTGGTCCCGACATGCCTTATGCAGGTCCACCAGCACATGTACTTACAAAGCTGGGAAAACGCAACCATCATCACTGGTCCCAGCATTCAAAACAAACCTTATGCTGGTGACCAGCAATTATGGATTTTTCAGCAGGGATGATTTGTAAACTAATACATTTTTACTTGCAATGCAAACCAGTCGGGTATGAGTCCCATGAAACATGAGTCACTATAAAAGAGCACAAAGACTCATAGAAGCAAGCCAAAAAGGCATGGTTGCTTCAGCAAATATGTTTGCTTTTGTTAACACTATTGGTTAGGTTTAGGGTCAGGTTTAGTGTAGGTGGTACTTTATTTTTAAACGCGATAGAGCATTAATCTTTTAGCTCCACTCACCAGACATTTCATTCCTGAACTGCTGTGATATATATAGATATATAGATATAAAAAACTGTTGCCACATTTACATTAATCTGTTTCAGGGAAAATTGAAATCACTTTTA